TCAGCCCGTCACTTTTGTCTGCATCCTGCATGACCGTGCTTGCTCTTTTCTCCACAAAAGGAGATTTCCCTTCAATCTGACCTGTATGTGGGGCTGCTCCACACATGTCCTTCAGGCTACTTGACAAAATTAAATTTATCATTACCTCCCTCTCCTATCAGTAAATGAGCTATAGATGAATCTTTGCCCTTCCAATGGAGAGGGATGGGAGTACACAGAGTTTGCTTTGTATAGATGGGCAGCTTATTATTTTTTGTCCATAAGAAGAAAATAATCCTTTTCCTGACTTTTCAGTTTTCTAAGATTTTCTGCCATCTATTAATCATAGAATCATAGGATGCCTTGAGTTGGAAGAGACTTTTAAAGATCACCTAGTTCAGCTTCCCAGCCACAGGCAGGGACATCTCTCCCTAGATGAGGTTGCTCAAAGCCCAATCCAGCCTGACCTTAAAGTAATATATGTATCTGTATGTTCTAGAGTTTTTAAAATACATCTATCATCATGGCATATTAGTTTTCCTTCCACATCCTCATCCCCTTAGAATAAACCTTTTTTGCCCATGGTAGGGATTTTTGTTGCTTTTTAAGTGGGTAAATGTGAAGATTAGAAAGAGGTCAGGAGAAAAAAAAGCATTTCAGTGGAGCATTTCAGCATTTCAACTTCCTGGTTGCTGGCTATTGAAAGGAAGGAAGATTTTGCAGCATTTTCTAATTCTGGTCAGACTCTAGATTCGCCATATTTCTTCTGAAGCTACTTGTGCAGGCAAATGCCCTCAACAAGACTGATTTGTTGTGCATTCTGCACAGTCTCAGAGCTGCAGAGCTCCCATCATGTTTAATAAGGTGAGTTTGGTATTGCTGGGTCACAAGATACTTTACTGCCTTGCGTATTGTAACGTGTTGGAAGTAGACAGTGAATGAACAGTCTGAAAGCAGAGCTGCCGTGCATTTGTCTGCCTAAAACCGGATGGGCATCTTGTACTCACTAGAGCCTGATGCTGCCTTTCTGCATACATTCATGTGTATGTGCATGTAAATCACATGAGAAAAGGGTCATTGATAGCTTCCAGTTTTAGCAATCTCATTTCCTTTGGTTTCCTCAGTTGCCATTTTTCAAGGCAGCCTTTGCAAGGAAACTGGCTGGTGGTGCACTGCCTCTCAGCTAAGAGATCTCCTCTTTACCTATCTAGAACACCCAAGTTAGCAGAGACCCCTGGGCTCTGAAGTCTGGTGCCAGGATGGGAAGCTTGGCAAGCCAGCAGTTTGTTCTGCTCTGGTTCAAAGCCCATTCCTATGCATGCACATTTGTATAAGTTGCTGCAAAGCACTCGAGACATCCCCGTGGACTTGGCAAATGAGTTAAAGTTGCAACTATTGTGTGCCTAGAAATAGCTCAAGCACAGCTTGGAACACAGCTTATTTCCCCAAAGATGTGTGTGCAGGAGGATGGATAGGGACAGTGCAAGCCAAGGATAGCCCAGCTAATTCCAACTCTTCCTGAATATTGCCATTGGATTTTTAAATGCTTCTCAACTCCCAGAGGGATGCTGAAAGATTTGACCTCAGTTTAGCATCTTGCCCAAAATCCCGTAAGTAGTTCTGACAGTGCAGGTCTCCCTAAGAGCTGTGTGGAGAAGTCAGACTTGGATGTGAGCCCAGCCTTGGTGTTACACTGGAACTCAAGACTTCTGGGGCCCTGAATGATTTCAGATGTGCCATACTCTGACAGATAGGGACTGCAGGAATGGGAGCTGCTGACAAGGAAACTGTTCCTGAAATTACCAGTGGGGAAAATGGAAGGAAGAACAATTGCAATTATTTGCCACTACCAAGATATGTGAGACCTGTTCAAGGAACAAAGGCAGGCTTCATTTCTTAATCTGGTCACTCTGACACTTCCCAGGAGCTTTAAAGCAGAAGGAAAAGAATAAGAGGCTTACTCTATGAATAACTCATACATCGGAGTGTGGGACAATGTGATCAGCTTTAGGTAGTGTGACATGACTATTCATCACATCTGCCCGAAGGCCTCCACCAGCACTGCAGCCTGGTGGTGCTGCACCAACAAGGGCAAACGCAGCCCCTGCCCTCGGGCTATCGCAGCCCAAGATTACGGTGGGGTGACAAGGAGGGGACTCTGCGAGAGCTGTGAGGCAGCGAGATATTGGTATAATGAGCACATTTGCATTGCGCCAGCAGCCACAGCCAGCTTCCTCCCCAGGCCCTGCCAAACAGCAGCGCTCTGTAGGAGTTGTGGCGGAGGTAAAGCTTAAAGGGGGATTTGATGGAAGACAAGATGGTACCTTGTGGGGAGATTTTTACCATGATTTAGAAGGCAGACTGCAAGAAAGCATAAAAGTGTCTGCAGGAGGAGTGACAGAATCTGTTATCTTTAATGAAGGAAGAAAGTTTTCTGCTGTGACAGAGTATTAGATTTAAGAGCTGAGGAGAGCAAGCAGTGAAGAGGCTTAGAGGTAAAGGCTTGAGCTTTTCTCCCAATCCCACAGAAATATTTATAGTATCAAAACATGTGCTATCAAGATGAAAAATTGAAATCTCAGAAACAGTGCTTTGATGCTTTTTAGCTGGTGGGGATCTTGGAAAAAAATCTATTGTGTTTGACTTCATTAAAAAAAGAATCTATAAATTCTGCTTACCTCATGAACGATTCCCCCAGGGCAGCTGGGAAGTCAGGAGCTCCAGCTTTCACTCAAATGTAACTTTTCCTGTTCAGCCTGAGGCACTGTATGACCACCACTGCGACTTTGGGCACACCAGTGAAACTGGTGTTGTGCAGGTGCTGTATAGTCCCAGTTCTAGTCTGTACTTCCAGTTTTGGGGTGTCCTTGGGCTGGCATCTGTGCATGAGTGAAATAAGAGAAGGGAAGATTTTATTGGGGTTGGAAAGTTCTGGTGGGGATGTGCCCACATAAGAGCTCAACATAAGAGCTGCTCCCACTCTGCAGTGCCATGAACTGAGCATGAAATGTATTTTTACTCAGTTAAGATTTGGTTTCAAAAAGTAAATAATTTTGAAGCAGAAAGCCAGAAATTATCAATTTGGAAATTGTCAAAATATTTTTTCCAAACAATTTTCAAATAAAAATATCCTAAAATTGGATCTCTGCCTTCTCTGTGGAAGATCTCCTTGGTGAACTGATATTTTCCAGTTCAGAAACCATTAGCTTCAGTGAAGAGAAAAGCTGGTGCTTAACACAGTGCAGGGTGGGGAGAAGTGACTAAAGAGGAAATGTGGTTAAAACCCTAAAAAATAAGTTGTTCCTTGCAGGACAAGTAGATTTAGAACAAGGCTAAAGAAAGGAGGTCACAGGAGCTGGTATGAGATGCTTAGAGCAAGGAATTTGGCAGCTGAGAATGGCAGAAACAGATCTTCAAAATTGCATTTAATGGAGTCAGAAGCCCATTGCATGGGTCTAGGGCAATGAATCAGTGACAACACCCAAGCTACCGGGGCTGGATGCGTGGTGTTACTGTTGTGATAGAGAAAGGACAGGGTTCGGGAGAATGGGGTAAGAATTACTGGGAACGATCAAGAGCACAGGTTAAGAAAAGGCATCTATAGATATGTGTGCATATCTATATATGTGAATATCTATGTCATTTATCAGGAACAGAGGGCAAGGTGTGAGATTAGAGGGCTCAGAATGGTCAATAAAGTTCTGCCTTTTTAATTTGTGTATAGGCAGATATTTAATCAGACCAAATCCTGTATGATTATCTCTGCAAGAACAATGCTAAATCTTCTTTGCCCAAAAGAACAGTCTCTAAAAACTATTTTCCCTTTCTATCTATTTTTTTGGTGATATATAAGGATGGCAGTACTATGATTAATCCCCTCTTGACTCTACTCATGGATGCTGTAACTTCATATTGCATCATAGTTACACACCTGAAACCAACCTGAAATTCTATCAAATTACTTTTAAAGTTGAATTAATGGGAGCAAACCATTCCCTTAGGGCCATATGGGAGAGACAAGTTATAGAGCACATTGAAAAGAAAAATGTTAGCCAGCAACTAAGTCATAATTCTGAGAAGGAAAAAACAAAATGTGTGCCTGACCTTCCTGGACACTGAGCACCCCCAACTTTCCCCATTTAAGACTGAGTTCCTACTGACCCGGCTAAAGCAAACACAGAGCGTGGGCTCTTTGAAGTTCTGTGCGGGCTTCCCAGTGCTGTGCCTGCCCTCACCTGCACCCGTTTGCCCTGGACCAGGAACTGCTGGTGTCTAGTTTGTGATGGGAAATGGGTTTTGAGGGGGAAGATGCGACCCTTGAACTTAAATTTGCTTTGGCAAAAGCACTTTTATCATCTGTGCCCCACTGTTGTATTGCATTCAGCACAAGTGCTGTTGGTGTTGTTCTGAGGTACAGCTTGTGGGGCACTGAAAGGGGAACAGTGGGTGAAGTTTACTCTGAGTTCAGACTCAAGTTCCCACTCAGACTTTAAGTGCCTGCACTCCTGCAGCTGTTCCAGGAAAGCAGCATGAGTGGTTATGACCCCTGTAACTCAACCATTCAAGCGGCAGACTGTGCACTGAACAATTCCTGGCCTTTGCCAAAGGCTCACCTGCCGTGTGTCCTGCAGGTCCTGAGTGCCATCCCATGGTTTTTCCTGGTTTCCCGTAAAGCAGGTGTAATTTGTCGTGGTTACTTTCGGGCATTAGGGAGGTAAGTTGCTTGAATCAGGCACCACACAGAGGGTAGCAGACTTCGGGAAAACCATTCAGCAGACTTCAAGAGAGGTGAATCAAATGGCCTGGCTTTAAAAACCTTACCTGGGGCAGGTAGGCTGCTGCTGGGACTCGCATGTCAAAGCAGAAACATCTTTCCCCAGACCTGGGAGACACAGCCCGTTCCTCTTTAAATCTGCGCTGTGTGCTGCAGTGCTCTGCATTGTTGCCATGGCAGAAATCTCCCCATAGTAATAACCTCTTTCAGAGAAGGTTAAAAAGAGACAGTGCACATGCTCAGAAATGCTGCACTTCTTCTGTTAGCGGTTTGCAGCGGCCATTTCAAAGAGACCATCACAAAGACGAGAGAGAGATCAGGTACTGATATTTTTTCCTTTGTTTGAGGGGGTGACTTTTCTCTTTCACAGAAGCCCATGCACCGCTCTGTCTCCGCTCCCAGTTGCACTGCAGAGAAGGACCACCCTTGAAGCCTATTATGATTATTCCTTGCAGATAGCAAATTCCCATGGAATAACTAAGAGGCAGTATTAGATGTGGCCTAAGGTGATTGCTGCACTCAGGGAGCAGTTATTGTGCAGCAGGGCTCCCATATGAAGCTGGGGTGGGTGATGTGTGAGGTATCCTGAAAAAGTTTAACAGCTATCTGCTTTGTTTTGTTGAACCTTTCTAGCACTCATAGTCAGCAATGAGAATAGCCTCTGCTCCTGCTGACCAAGAGGCTTCTGCATTAGGTACTTTCAAAGGAGGCTGCTATTATCCTAATTTACTGTTACTTGGAGACACTCTGCTGCATTGTGTTGCAAAGCCTGGTGTCTTCGATTGTACTTGCTTTGATTGCATATCACAGTTAATTAAAACAGAAAACCCAAGCTGCTTGTTATGATTTTGATCCCTTTATTTTAAGGATTGTAGAAATAAGAAAAAGGGTCACATCAATTCACTTCTAAATAGTGGGATGGATAGAAAGCCCAGTTCTGAGTTTATAGGAATTACACTACCAGATCTAAATTTTTTGTGGGCCCAAATATATCTGTGACTCTATGGGTACATGTGTGTCTTTTGTTTCCAAACCATCTCCTACTCCTATGTTTAGGTTGAGGTGCACAGGAAGGGGATGTGTGTAACGTTGCTCCTTTCCTGGATGAATTGCTGGTTCTCACGTGCTGCAAGTGTTCATGCAGAATTTGCACCTTCAGATTTGCTGTGTCTGAAATGGTGGGTTGTGTATGTTAAAGAGCAACCTTGTCCCATTCTGTGCTTGTGGCAAGATGGGGAAAAACCTTTCCTTTCCTCTCTCCCTCTATTGCCCTTCCAAATGTGAAATACCAAATGGTTTGGGGACTGCTGTACTCTTGCATTCAGCGCATGCAGATTTGATGTTCTTATGCAACACCTTTTGCTTAGTATGTACCGGCTTAAAAATCAGGAAGAGGCAGAATGTTGTCCTGCCTTTCTGGCTTTAGCTAAAGAGAATGTTCATATGGGTTTTATTGTGTTGCTACAACTTAACCTTATTTGATTCTTTCTTCCATTTGAACACATAGGAATGGCAAGTAAACTTGGCTGAACTAAGGACCACCCTAGCAGCCTTGCCAGGATCCTTGAGGCTTGGATTGAAATCTGCAATAGGCAGTTGCAGCTTGAGCCAGTCCAAGTTTCCTGTCTTCCCTCTTGATCTGAACAGTTTACCTGTTGGATCAAGAAAATGTTTCATTTGGAACCTGTGTACTTATCAGAAATGCTACCTCTGTGTCAAGGGGACCTGTTGCTGGACCAGACTCTACCTATCTTCAGGGCATGGTGTAGCCTGGCTGTGATGTTCAGGAATGGCTGCAAATAAAGGTCTGAAGCCCAGATTAGGTGGGGAAAGAGAAGGTCAAAGAGTTTTGATACATTTACCATTAGAAATTCTACCTGTGAATTTGTGGAGGTTTAACAAAAGTATTTTCCTTCAGCTACTATCATAAAGGAGTAGTTTTTTATGATCAGCTTTAGTTATTATACTTGTGAAAAGGTGGTGCATCAGTAAAGCAAATGAGTGGGTAAAAGATTCATTTCTAGGTTCAGGTCTGTTTCAGACAGCTCTGTAATCCCTGCAAGTTCAATCTCAAAGCCTAAGAGTGAACCAGCTGTCCAGATTCATGTGCTGGTCTGGGGCTGTGTTGTTAGAAAAAGGATTGGAGTCACTGAGCAGACAAAGTTGCTGACATCCAGGCTTGCAAATGAAACCAAAAACTGTCTAGGGACTTCTGATCTTCTCCTACATGTCTAGGGACATGCTTTCCCAGTCGAGTTGTATGTGCGCTGCTGGAAAAATACAAAGAACTTCTGTCCATGCTCTAGATCTTCTGGTATGTTTTGGTATTTTTTTCTTTCAAAGGAAGACTGCCAGTGCTTTAGCCATCAGGAACATGAAGTTCCTCACAACAAGACCCTTGTACCTCTAATGTTCCTCACTGACCTGTTTGTGTCTCTTGATAAACAGAGAGGCACCTGTTCCCAAGATGCTGGCACCCTGCCTTCTGAGAAGAGTGGTCCTTACAGTTCCTCTAGTTTTTGTGGTTGCACTGCTGCTCACGGAGCCTGTCACATCTGATCAAGAAGCAGGAACAGCCATACCAGCTGAAAGTACGTACCACGCTACAGTCCTCTCGTACAGCCCATACTGTAGTTTTAATGTTGCAAGACTTCACATCACTGAAGCTTGTCCAAACCAAACTACTTTGGCCATGTCTTGCTTATGAAGTTTTAAAATCACAACTTGATAGCAATACCTGTTTTTGTCCTGCTTCACTCTTATCTCCTGCCTGTTTCTGTCTTGCTTTTACCCCAAATCTGCTACTGTTCTGTACCTTTTCTTTTGTACAGCCCTGTCATTGTTTTAGAACTTTCTATGCCAGGACTCACCCTGTTTGGTTTTCAGAGACAGTCTTGAGACTTGCTTTTTTCAACTGAAATTGACTGTTCATTACATTTTTCATTGTTGGTAATGTCTATATTAAAGTCAGTAGTTTTAATTAAATTCTGTCGTGGTTTAGGGCTGGGCTGGCCACTAATTCACAATGAAATGCCAAGAAAGCACACTTTGTCAACACTTAGTCTTGCAGGCTTCAACCACCTAATTCTCCTTTGCTTATCTATGTTGAGTTTTATTTACATCATAAACATAATAGCAGGTCCTTGCATCGAGTTGTTGATGTGGAAAATGTTGTCCTCTCTGTATGTCTGGTGCATATATAATAACACTAAGGTTGAGTGGTGGTACGACAATGAAAGAGGAGGTCTGTAATGCTGTTCAATGTTTATTTTTTATCCCTTTTTTTTCTCCTAACCAGTTAAAATTTGGCAGACTCCTTTTCTCCAGCAGTCAGGATTCCTATCTGCTGGTTAGCACACAGATAATGAGCTGGAAGCTCATACTCCAGCTTATCAGAGAGATGTAGTAATCAGTCATATATCAAGTGTTTGCAAATAGGCTGGCAGACACTGCAGGATTTTCCACCATCACTCTAGGTTTCATCCTTTCTTCCTTACCAGACCTCAAAGAGCAAAGTAAACCTGCACTCAGAATTTCTCACTTACGCAATATTTCCTATGAAGCTGTCAAAGAGACACAGGCGCTGAGAAGCAAATAAGAGCATATGTAGAGCCTGGTGATTTGAAGACATTTCATCATGTCTATATTTGTTCTGCCTCAGTACTGCTATCTGTTAGGACACAGCTTTGTGTTACATGGTGATCAAGGCAAAGCAAGCCTTGTGACCTGCAGTCTGGATATCTAGATATGGGAATACTATCTTAAACACTACAATTAGACCAGAATGCAGCAGTTCTGCTTATCAGCAGTGCCCACTAAGGACAGGGCATTGTGTTTATCTGCTGCTTTCTTCATTAGCTTTGGGTAAAGCTGTATAAAATCCACATTAGAGGCCGAGTGATCCGTCTCTGTGATAATGTAGTCATTTTTTTTCCATTAGTTTTCTATTTAGAGCTCAAGTTCGTGAGATTAAGAGACAAGAATTTCCAGGGAACAGGTTCATGGTTTCAGAAGTAATTTGTGAAAAATCAGAAAAATCTGAAGATGAGGTTGAAAATGTGCTCAGGGTTGGTGAAGCAAAATGAAAGACTCAAGTTATAGGTTTAGTGTTTCCACACTATCAACTGTGACAAGAGAAGGGTTAGGGAAACAGCAAGAAAGGAGGAAGATCTGTTGAAGTAATTCTGTTGTCATTGGGGGAGTGGGTGGATCATCATGATGGACCATTTATAATAACCTGGATTGTCCAAGAGTACATACTCTGTCAAGAGTACTCACTCTGTGGACTCTTTCTGTAGCTCTTTCTCATACTCAAAATCACTTCTTATTCCTTTTACTTAATACTTCATGCCATATAGACATGATTCTCTAGTAAATGCTCTACCAAATGCTCTCCTAGGTCGTCCCTGTGTTGATTGCCATGCATTTGAGTTCATGCAGAGGGCTCTGCAGGATTTAAAGAAGACAGCGTATAATCTAGACATGAGGGTAAGTAAACAGTCCATTTCTTTTTTTTAATACAGAAGAAAATGCTCTGAAGAAAAGTAGATAAGGTGGATGGATTTGGCACAAGACACTCAGTCAACTGTCCTATCTTCTAAGGTGAGGCTTCGTAATTACATTTCATCTCTCTAGGCAGTAATCTGTGGAATTCTTCTGCCTTGGGGTATCAGGAACACTGGGAAGCTTAGGAAAGAGTAAACTGACAGTCCTCAGCCCTCTGTCCTCTTGCTGAGTTACAGCCATTAGCGCTGCTATTCTCTTTGCTAATGCGAGCACACACCTTTGTTTCTAGGTTAGGGAGAGTAAGGTGAGAGCATATTTATTATCCAAAAGGAGAGAGCCAGCTCAAACAGAAAACCTACTAAAATAAAATATTCCCCTGTACATGCTTTTACCCCTGTGGAGAGGGAAAACATAATCTTGCAGATACTTTTTACATTGCTCTGATTCTATAATGATGCAAAATGCCACAAAGTAGAACAGCAGAGGGAACAAAACTTGTTTGGCTTGCAGTCAGCCTGGAGAATTTGCCAAGGTTGATGTCTTCCTTCTGTGAGGAAACTTTAATCTGTCTCTTGCTGCTGGAGCCTGCAGTCTGTGACTCGCTGTATCCCAGCTGCTGTCAGATAGCAGTGTCTCAGGAGGGTAGCTTCTCCCCACCTCCTGTGTATATCCACACTCTTGCACAGATTTTTCAACAGAAGGCACTCAAACTTTTTTGCTTTTCTAATCTCTGGTCAAGGTTGTTCGCAGTTCAAAGCCTGTGAACTGGCATCTTTGAAATAAGACTTGAGGTGACTCTGAGCAGGGTCCATGATGTTTAGGTGAAAATGCAGGTGCAGGAATGAAGATGCCTTGAATTGTGACATACCACAAAATCCAAACAAGCATTCCAGCAGAACCAGATGGGTATGTAGGACATTCACAGTTAAACAAAATCTGTTCAATAATTACAGGTCAAATGTATTGTAGGCTTCTTCATGAAGAAATCTTGTTAATTAATACATCGGCTGACACTGTACATAGCCCAGACAAGATGTTCGGATTGTGCTGTAAAGTGTTTCTAGCACACCTTTTCCTTCTTTTACAAGCTGCTGAACTTTTTGCCAGAATTTCTATATATTGATTCAAAAATATCTCAACTACTGAAATCTTCTCTGGTTGTCTGGCTGTGGCAGTGACCTTTATGGCACCTACAGCTTGCAGATCAAGAGAGCAGCTTTATAAAATACAGATACCCAAAGCAGGAGTAACAACAAGAGCTCCAAAGATAGCAACTGTATTTTAATACTCTTTAGAAAATAAAAATAAAAATAAAAGACAGCCAAGGAGAGGAAATGAGAACACAAAAAAGGTTTGGTTGAGAGGAATGTCCTGCTATTGACTTTCACAGTTGTAGATTTGACAAGAAGCCTGGAAATGTGGCTCCATGATATTCTCTCACCAAAACAAACCTATCTCTTCCTTATCACTTTAAAATCTAAATAATTGAATCCATATTGTGATCCTTCCTCTGTGGACTAGGACAGGCCTATTTGAGTCATTAAGCTAGGAACTCTGCCTACATCTTCAAAAGACATGGAAATATTTAATAGTTGAGCACTTTTTGGAACCGCTTTCTGCAGTGCTTCAATTCTTAGTTTGATTATTCAGCTGTGGCTCAATTTGATGCAAACTGGGAGTTTTAAGACAATTGCTTTCAGCCACATATATATTTTACATTTGACTATTTTACTCTGTTTTGCTGCTTAGTGGGGCAAATGTTTCCATCCCTGAAAATACAATTCCCTTTGTTAATATTCCCAGTGGAGACAGTGATTTCATTGAAAAACTCTCTTTTGTTTGCAGGCAAGATTTTTAGATGATGACTAAGCAGCTCTTAACTGTCTTGGAGGGGGATGAATTCCCAAAAGCTTAGAGCGGAAATTCCCATTTCATTTCTCCAGCAAATCTCACCCCGCAGTTCTGTACAGGGGAAACCATATAATTTTATTGCTCAGCTCAAGAGTTTTCACACTTAATTTGGCCCTGTGTTGATCTGCATGGTATGTCACAAAGCAAACCGACTCATGGGTCACATAACCTTTTATGAGTGTCCTTTTTTTTACAAGCCTAGGCACACTTGTAACCTGCACTGATCACTCACTGATTGATGGGCCTGCTGCATTTTATTCCTGCAGGAAGAGGAGTCGCAGACCACCCCTGAGAGGCTGGTGACTGCCTGTGCACGAACCAGATCTGTTTGCCCCCGTGTACTGTTTCCATAGAATCATAGAAAAGACCTTTAAGATCCTTGAGTCCAACCATAACCTGTCCACTACTAAACCATGTCTCTAAGCACCTCATCTACCTGTCTTTTAAACACCTCCAGGAATGGTGACTCCACCACTTCCCTGGGCAGCCTGGTCCAGTGCCTGATAACCCTTTCAGTGAGGAAGTTTTTCCTAATATCCAATCTAAACTTCCTCTGGCACAACTTGAGGCCATTTCCTCTCATCCTATTACTTGTTACCTGGGAGAAGAGGCTGACCCCCACTTTGTTACACCCTCCTTTTGGGTAGTTGTAGAGGGCAATAAGGTCTCCCCTCATCCTCCTCTTCTCCAGACTGAACAGCCCCAGTTCCCTCAGCCGCTCCTCATGTGGTTTGTGCTCCACACCCCTCACCAGCTTCATTGCTGTCAATCTTTTCTGGCGATATCTGTCAGTCACTACTCAGCCAAAGTACAGTATGTGGCAGGTGCAGCTCTTCTTTTTTTTTTTTTCAAACATGCTTTAACCCACCAGGGGACAGTAACAAATCTCTGCAAATGTTTTTGTGATCATGCTCACTACACAGTCAGCAAAGCTGTATTCAGTGCCATTCATTTTGTTCTTTATTCCTTTCTAAACTGTCAATTTTTATTTGGAACGTTCAAAGCACATTAAGCAAGATATGCCTATGAAAGTGAAAACAAAGGCTTGAAAATGTTATTAAAGATATAGACGATGGTAAGCAGCCTTGGGGCTTGGCTCCAAAGCTGTTGGCATGCTGTCAACCTCCCTTATTCAAACCATTGCAAATGATGTCAAGGAGATGGTTAGAAGGTGGTGATCGACTGTCTCTTAGGTGATTAGCAAAGTCTGATCAGATCTTTCCAGTTTTGCAGGGTAGCTGAAACAATCAAAAGTGATACTCAATTTAAAACTGAACCACAGGATAGTGTCTAGTGATTTATCACCTTGGGAAAAAAAACAAACCTGACTAATAGATGGCTTTTCCTCTACTAAGAAGGCAGGTGGTAAGCAGGATGCTTCAGCACAGCTCTGCTCTGAGTGCCTTTAGCTGATGTGGGTCAATGGATAAACACTGCTTTTAAAACACAGCCTTTAATCACACGGCAATTCCATCTCATACGAAAATCACAAGACAGGCAGATTAAGGATGGATTTCACTGGCATTTACAGCTGGTAGTCTTCAGAATGCCCTGTTTTCTGTACCTGGTTACACCAGTGGGGGTTAATTTGATGAGTGGTGTTCCCACAGCTAGTGTGTCCCGTGACAGCAAGGAGGAAGTCCCAATTCTCAGGTACAGCTTCAGCTCACAATAGACAAACTGATAGCGTAGAATCATATAATCATAAAATGGTTTGGATTGGAAGGGACCTTAAAGATCATCCAGTCCAACCCTCCTGCCATGGGCAGGGACACCTCCCTTGTGACCCATTTAATTCTTTGAGTCTGTTTTTAATTAAAAGGATAATTTCCAATAGATTTTTATTTTTTTAAGCCTCTCATGAAGTTGAAAGCTTATGCTTCAACTTTTGCAGCTGAAGTAAGATTGGAAGAAAGACTTTAAACAAAAATAACAAGACCTAGACACATTAAATGTACTAATGTGAAAAAGATGAATGTGTACTGGACTGAATTTCTCCACGTCGCAGAAAGTATTGCTACATTGGTATGCCAGTTAATCCTGCAAAAGCGAAATTATTTTGCAGAGCAATAAGCAATAACTCTGATTGTTACCTGAAGTCTCATCTCATACCAAGCCCAAATCTTAGAACAAAAGTTAAGTGGACTTTTCTTTAGGAGTTAATTAGTTTTACAGTGCTGATGCTGTTTTTTTAATGTTGCTTTTGTTTCCCCCTCTTATAGACAGAAACTCTGCTTCTTCAGGTGGAAAAGAGAAATCTGTGTGACTGTGTAGCTGCAAATCTGCTGAACTGAACCCTGGAGGCCAGCTGAGGAGTATCACCTGTTCAGTGGTTTTTAAAAAGCAGCTGTATAAAATACAGCTTTATGGAGTTCATGTTTCAAGCATGTGTGCCCCAATATACTGAGGAAATTGCAGGGTTGTGTCTTATGTATTCGCCTGTTCTGGGTTTTTTCGGGTTTGTTTCTTGTTTTTTTTTCAGAGTACCGTCTTTTCACATCCACTGGGTTGCCAGTAAGGGCTCAATTCAGTAAATCTGTTACTTGGTATTAGAATGGGGGAAAAGATTACCTGCTTTGATTTTTAAATCAGAGTTGGCCAAGTGTAACCCACAAGATAAATATGGCCAGCAGTGCTCTAGAGACACTCACAGCTGTTTTTTGTCCCTAATATGAACATATCTCTGTGGCAATTTACCCAGTTATATTGAGACGGGGAACTGTGGTCTCTGTAGGCTTTGCCTGTGTATTAAAGGGGATGGAAGTCCTTTCTGTTTGCTGTCTTCACTGTGACCACATTCAGGCACATTGTAGCTCTGTCAGCTGTAATGAGGTATGGGTTATGAGGAGTTATGTGTGCTGTACTTGGACCAAAACAGCCTGTATCTTAATGCTGAGTTTTCTGGTATCCTGCATAAAGGTGTGGTCTTTTTCAATGAAAACCTTTAGTTCCTTCCCCTCCTTCCCTGGACACTCCATTCTTAATCCACTGTATCTCTAAATACTGTGGGAAAGGACCCATTTTTAACCAGGAAAGCAACATTCCCATTGCAGAACCTGGAGGAAGCCCCAGAACAGTTCAGGTGGTGAAGACTCTACTCTCAAAGCTGAGTTAATCCATGGGCTGTCCACTGGGATGCTGTGATCTCACCAGCTTGTAAGTGTGGACAGGAGCCCAGCCATGGCCAGCAGCTGGTTTTGCCAGGTGTTGAGTAATAAGATGTTCTGGCACAACTGGAAACACCTGTAGATCTTGATGGTTTTTTCCTTGGTGTCTGTACAGACACCAGCTTGAACAAAAGAAAATCTGATCACGTGGCAATATTTTCCTTCAGTCATTTTGCTACACCTGGACCTTCTGATTTGCATCACCAGAACCAGGGCAGTGAAACGCAGGACATAATAGCTGTTGCTTCAAGATAAAGCAGCCAGGAGGGAGACAGATACAGAAAAAGGAATAACTTTCTTATTTTCTTCCTCTGAATCTGAAAAATTAAAGATTCCTTTCAGTCTGCAGAAGAGCTGTTGGAACTGGGAATTTCCTAGTGGAAATTGCTGTCTGCTCCTTTAAAGCCCATCTTACCTATTTTCCTTTAGTTGAATGACTGCTGTGTGTTACCTCTTTGTCACGGCCACTCACTCCTGCAGCCCTTGCCCTGCTACCAAAACACCACCACACAAATCCAATACACTCTTGTTCAAACCCACGAAAATAAGCAGAAGAGCAGAAGACAGCGAATATGCCACCAGTTCTGAAAAAGGATTGGCAGGGAGGTCTGGAAATTGCCCCCAGCAAGCAGAGTATCTTTTCTGGGCAAGCAAACAGAAACTTTTGAAGGCTTTGAATATGTAAACTCAGGTTTAATATGATATAGTGGCAAGAGTCAAGACCATTTTTGTAGAGCAGAACCAGATAAACTGCTGACAAAAGCAGCTAGGATAATACAAAGTAATGTGCAGACTGGGAGTCTTCAGGCTAGACAAGAGATGGGTAAAGAAGACGATGATAGAAGTTTCTAAAACCATAAGTGACCAGATAAAACTATTTATCTTCTTGTTCCCTTCCCAAACAAGAAGTGGGGTGCAGTGAACAAAACCAGCTGTGGGCAGGGTCAGAGCAAATAGGAGGATGATGCTCTTGACCTATTATGTGTTTCAGTTGTGGAAGTCCTCATTGCAGGATGTTGCTGATCCTAAAAGTTTACATGGGTTTAAAAAGCAGCTGTTCAGACTCATGCCTGAAAATCTTACTGCAAACTGTTAAATATAAAAACACCAACTTGATTCAGGAGGTCCCTGAACCACAAATTGTTGCAGATTAACCTGGTTTGCAGTTGACCTGGTTTTATATTTTTCCCCACACATTTCTTATTCGTCAGTGCCAAGGATGAGAGGCTGGCCTCAAAAGGATGTTTGATGTGATCTGGTGTAGTTGTTCTTATATGTAGAAATGAGCCTCTTCCCAAACTCATAAAGCAAAACTCGCTGTGCTCCAGAGAGCCACTCCATTTTATCCCTTAGAAACAAACACTTTTAGGAAATCTTGAAGTTCTGGGTTTCCCCATTGTCAAAGTACAGGGCAGCATGAAGTAGGCCAGTGGCCCTGCTTCTGCAGCCCAGTACATCACTGACCGTATTCAGATCATCTCTCCTGTGCCATAAAGAAATCTTACAGCAATGAGCTTGTGAGCAGCAAACTCTTGTGCATGTGAAGAATGTCTGAAAGTGGTTGTTGCTGTGGTCGTGCTGCTGAGCTGGGAAATGCCTTCCAGACTTACGGTCCTGTGTCTTTGATGGCTCTGCCATCACTGTTCTGCCTCTTGTCACTCTTCCCCTGCATAGAAAATATTTTCTCTGCCCTCCAAAAGCTTGACATTTTCAACAAGAAAAAAGGAAAGTTTTAGTACAAACAGGCTTTCTCTTCCCATCATACTTGAAACTGCTGCTGTGCCGTGCCTCCTACAGGAAGTGCGTTTTTTCTCCTCAAAATCCAAAGGTCCCTGTTAAATCCAAACTGTTCCATTAGATGTACCTAGGAATAGGTGGGGTGGGTGATAATAGGGCCATCAGAACATGCATGCATCCTTCTCACCATACACCTTGTCCTCTTTTGTTCCCTGTAGTACATTATGTGCTTGTCTCTTGCTTTGTGACTGCACTGAAAGCTGTCTGGGGCAAAGAAGTTGTCATGTCAGTAGCACTGGAAGGTAGCATCGCACCTTCAGGTGTTGTGAACTTACTAAATAAAATTCACAGTGTAAAATATGCTGACTTGTTCCTCTAGTTTCAAGCTCCTGAATTTTAAAAAGTGGCTTAAAACATAAGAAAAAGAGTTTCAGACATGGATGTCATGTGAAATGAAATACAAATATCTGCATATATTCTATTTCTCGCTTTGGTCTGCCTACACTTTTCTTTCCTGACAGTCAAGGCTGTCATCATTTGATTTCTACTCTGAACCATGCACTTGCAGAAAACCTACCAATATATCAGCTTGTCTCCAGTAGCCTTGAGCACCTTTTGCTGTTTAAATCAAAGCAATACTGCACTTTTCTGGTCATTTAAGTGATGAAACTATAGGTTGTTCTCTTTGTCAATAGAGTTTGAAAGTGGAACAGGACTGGCAACTCTCTCATTATTCTTTATATAGCTTCACTCTTCTTCGAGTGTCTAAATCAACCGGGAAGGCTGCTGGCTGCTGATGCGAGTTAGACCGTCATCAATTACCGTTAGAGGGTAAGCAGGACACAGGTTTCAGGGCAGGCCGGTATTCAAGTTCTTGTTTTAGGGTGAGGGGATCTGAATTTCCTAAGTGTGCGCATTAATAGCTGCACTTAGCATTTAATGCTCATGCTCAGACAAACATAAAGGTAGCCTTAGCCCTGAGCTACATATAATTGTAAGGTATTTTCTAAGCATTGATGCTATTTTCTTTTTTTTAACATTATAACTTGATTTTTACCCTAATCCTTTATTTTATTCCTAAACTTCATAAAATATTTGGCTATGCAAAAGCCAGTAGGTGCCACTGACAGAGAACTGAAGGAATGGCATCACTGGGAAAATGTAAATACAGCAGATTTTTTTCTCTGTGAATGTCAGTTGCTGCGTTACAGCAGAGTCATGTGTTAATAATTAGAGAATGTAGAGACAAAACACAGCTTCTATTTAGCTTTAAGTGCAAAGAACATTTAATGCATGCCAATTTGATGTGCAGGTTATTTATCTAAGGGGCTCCTACAAAATGAGCAGAAAGTGTGGGGGCTCATCTGTATAACAGAATTGAGTCTAGTCCAAATTAATGGAAAAATCTGCTAACATAAACTACATTTTAATGCCAAGTCTGGCCTAACTTTTAAGCAAACCAATGCTCATTTAGGCAAACAATGTTGACAAAATCTATCATTTTGTGTGGCTTCTGCACTGAGTGTGGTGAAGCTTGGCATTTTCCTTTGCATAAATCCCAACAGAGTTTAAAGTTCCCAGTGATACCAGGTTTGGTAAGGTTATATCTATTTAGTTCTCGACCACAATCTAAAAATGATGACCGTGGCTTCACTCTGAAACTTTTCAGTTTAATATAGTGTCTGGGGAGAGACACAAACTTCGGGACCAAAATCAAAGTTACCAGCCTTTGTGAATGTTTATAGTCAAGGCTTTCACTGGAGGTCCCTTTAGTGCTGTAAGTTGACTTTCAAAGCTCTGTGGGTTATTTCTCTTCCACAGTCAAGGAGCAGAACTTCATCCATGCAGTAAATTTGATACACATGATTTCTTGCCTAAGCAGCTCTTGCATTCATCCTGGACTATATCTACACTGTAATAAAGCATCCAGCCTGTGAAAAGTATCTGGTTTCAGCCAACAGCACTGAATATAACTAATGCACAGTTCAGTCTCGCATTGAAGTGGGAGCTGAGCAATGTTTGAATATGCCTTTTGACAGCTGGTATATTGCACATTTAAAGTATGGTTTGTTTTATATACAACATAAAATCAAATTGTATTTTACCCATAGAAGGGTGAACCATGTCCTAGAAATTGATAGCTTTTCTAAAATAAAATGACATCTCCCCACCTCCCCTTTCTGTGTGCACATACAGGGTGTGCAGAGAACTGCCTGTGCCTTTTGTTACTTTGGTTTTGGGAGCCACAGAATAACGTGCCCAAATCCCAGCACTTAAAAAACCACTTGACATGTTCTTCCTGAACATCAACTGCTCTCAGAACATGTGAACTCAGAGGGGATTTTTATACAGTTCTCTAGCAAGTATAAAATGACATGCTCGCGTCTTCCTAGAGAGGGATAAGCCTGGCAGTAGCAGGGCAAACAGCTGAGCTTCACTGGC